CACTGGATTTTAAATATATCTCATTAAACGGTCTCATTAAATATATCCGATTGAATGGTTTCCTGAAGAACTGGGCAGTGCAGACTCAATCTTAAGGGTATGGAAGACGATTAGGGTCAGAATTAAAGTCAGAATTCTGAGGAAAAAAAATGTCAGAACTCAAATTTTATTTTAGTTTACAATGGCCCTAATCCTCTTTCATATAGGTGTAAACTCATGGACTGTCAAACCTCAACAACATTAGGAAGCTGTCACGTTGACCATGTCATGCACTGGGAAATAATGTTGAAACATGTCTTTTCTCTGTGTAAAATTTATGATTCCAACACTTATGAGGCATAAACATCTATATTTCTGTCATCCAGTGGATATATTTACTTGAGAAATAGTATCTTGAATTTTTAAGTTAAAGTTTATTTTATTTTGATTAGTTATAAATGCATTTTGTTTTTTAATTGCTTGCATTTTTAGGCTATGGATTTAAGATGAAGGCTTCCTAAAAGCTCTACGGGCCTCTTTGCTGGCAGTGATCAAAGCCTGAGAGACCAAATAAGGAAATAAAGAGCAGCATTGTTGCTTTGAAGACCCAGTTAGTGCTGTGTTTGTATTCTGTCAGAGCGCTTTACTGTAATGAAGTGGTGGTGGCTTGGGAGTGTGTGTGACCTGCTACCCTATTTACACTGCTTTTATACCAGGCTCACCGTTGACAACACAGGCTTATACATATTCATTTTGCTGTCAGTTGGGATGAGTGAGTGAGTGTGACAGTGACTGAAGGAGTGAATGAATGTACAAGTGAATGAGAGAATTATGAGGGGAATGAGATGAAAAAAGTGAATAGGTGAATATGTAAATGAGCAAATGAAATGACTGGGTGAGCATTTAAATTAGTGATGGAGTGAATGTGTGAACAAAAAATAGACGACAGTGACAGAAAATGAATGAGTACATGTGCAACTGAATAAGTCAGAGAATGAACAATGAAGTGAATGAGTAAATGTCTGTACATTAGTACAGAGTAAGTGATAATGTGAAGAAAGTGCAAGAATGAGGAAGTGACTGATAAAGTAAGTAAATGAATGACTGAGTGAACACATTAGCAAATGAACAAAACAGTGATCAGGTATTAAAGGGCTCAGTGAGTGAGTGAATGTATAACTGAGCCAGAATGAATGAATGAATGAACAATCAAGAAAACCACAGCGCGTCTGTGTATGTGCACCCTAAGTGTGTATCTAATGATGTTTGTGTAGCAACTTTGTCTTCATCTGCCTCTTCTTATGTGCACTCAGCTTAGTTGAAGTAGACATGGAGATTCATCTCCAGGGTTCTTGGTATTTTGTACACTGTGAATCTCATCATCCATTCTGCATTTCTGTTTTCATCCTCTTTCTTCCCCTCATGTCCCTGTTTATTATTCATTCACTCGCTTTCTTTCCACTTCAACCATCCGTCCTTCTCTCCTCCACCTCTTGTTTTTCCCACAGTAACCCTCGCTCTCACACTCATAGCTCTGTTGTCAGCTCTGCTCCTCCTTCCTCCTCTTTTCTGCTTTCTTCTCTCCTTATTTCTTCACCTTGTGTGTATGTGCCTGATTTGTGTTCAGTAGTTCTGTGTGCATGTGTATTCATAAGAGTGTGTGTGTATTCTCAGGTGGCTCAAAGCACTGCACTTGAGAGTGTATTCATGTCTTCTCAATGAATAATATCTTTGCATGCCAGAGAGTGTTGGGACTGTGCCCCTCTCTTTCTCTGCCTGTCCTGCTTTCTTCCGTCCTCACTCTTTTACCCTTTTTCTCTCCATCTCTTTTTTTCTCTCCCATTCCCTCTATGACACTTTGTTCCAGAGTACTGATTCTCAGGATAATCCTCATATTTATGGTACACAGAGATTAAACGCTGCTTGTGCTGCCAGCAGCTTAAGCACACAAACACACAAGCACACTTGAAACCGGCTTTAGGGTCAGCTGATTGAGCTTGGCACCCTGAACAGCATCAGCTCAAGGTGCCCTTGAGCAAGGCAACCCCCTGATAGCTTCAGTGGCCAGCAGCAAGGACCATGAACTCCCACTTGTGAATGAGTGTAGCAGTTTTGAGAGATATTTCCTTTCCCTGCTTTTAACCACATTTAATGGGGTTGTCTGTCTGCCTCTCACACATATCTGCCCTGAGCAGCTACTACTACTATATTACAGCCCACGGGCGACTTGACAAGTTTCATCTGACCAGTGAAATCAAAACGAATCCAAATGAAAATTTAGCTGGTTATCTTTGGTTAACATCCTACAAAATTCTGTAAACCATTTTCTCCCTGAAATTAATTGTGTGACTTTTACTTTGAAGAGGAGAAATACACAGTGCACAACTAAAAGCATCATTTGAACCTGTCACATCTGTGACATTTGGGCACATGCAAGAAAGAATGGTCAGGTAGGATGCAAGTGCTATGCTGCTAGCAATATGAGTAGCAAAACGAGAAGGGTTGATGCTCAGAAAATGTATTTCCTTGAATGATTATGTTGCCAAAATAGGTTTACAGGAAGCTTAGCCGCTCACACATTTTCAGTGCAATAAACTGAGTAGTCATATTGTGCTTGACATGTTCTTGTGAGCAGATGTAGAACCCAATAATTATTGATTATGCTATGATTATTATATTATTGTGATCATCACTTTATTGCTGCAGCTGTTAAAAGCGGAGCTAATGTTAACTATCTTATATACTTACTATTTGAAGTATTCTTTCCCACCAGGGATTAATAAAGTCTTATGATCATACAGTATTTTGGTTAATTAATCTGACTCTGAAAATTAACTAAAGTTATTAAATAAATATAAAAAAGTACAATATTTTTGGCACGATCCACAGTACTTCCTGTTTCCCGTCCTTATTTTGGTTGCACATCTGGTCCCCTGCCTAGCGTTTCCCTCTCAGTGTCTCCAGATTAATCACCAGCCCTTATGACGTTCACCTGTGTCCCAGTAGTGTGTTCACTGGTACTGTATTGAGCTCGCTCCCCATGCTCATTTTTTGCCAGACTGTAATGAGCTAACTAGCCTCCAGTGTGTCCGTGTGGTCAGCTTTATGCTTCATGTTGTCTCCATGGACATAGTCTGCTCACCCTCGTCTGAGAGCCTCATGTAAAAGCTGTGCTTTTGTTAATTTAGTCCACTTTATGTTAATGCCTTTTTGGGATGTCCCCTGTTAGCATAGTGTGGTTTTTCATATAACTGTTGTTAGTCTTCTTGCCCATGTAGTTACTGTCACTCAGTTGTCTTTGCCCACTAGATCAATCACTTGTGTCCTTATCATAGTAGATGTACTTTAGTCATCAGGGTTACCTACCTTTGACTTTATGTCTTCTTATGTTGTTGTTCTTGTACCCTCTAGTAAACTCATCCATGTCTCATATTAGTTCAAATCTGTCACGATAACCTGAATTCTTGTCACTACTCATATTATAGTGAGCCTATAATACTCTTCTTGTTTTATTCCTATTGTTGACGACATGGTTAGAAACCATCTTTTCTGAATTTCTAGCATCTATTGCCTTTCTATAAAACTCAGTTTGTATTGTTTAAAGTGATGAGAAAAGCACAGTTCCTACATTTAAAAATAAATGCATATGAAAGAGAAATGAATGCAGACGGTAAATGTCATGAACCAGCTTAAATGCCATGTTGAGATGAAAACATGGTTTGACCCCTGAACCCCCAGAAAGCCCCACAGGCTTAGTTTCACCATCAACACAAAGTGGTTTCACACAGTAGGCCTTTCAAAAGCAATGTGTGTGTGTGTGTGTGTATCTGTGTATCTGTATTGATTTCACTAGTCACAGGCTGCAGAGCCAGCCACAGCTTGAAAGAGAGAGAGTCATTAACCAGTGCCAATAATACAAATTATTAATTTATACAGTTTTA